TTTTCAATTCTTGAGGCCAATGCAAACACGTGCATATGAAGAAAACTTCGATGCGAAGATCACGTGATCGACTGCACGTGCAAAACCTGATTTGGTACTAACGTCATTTGCACGACGAATGGATGGGTTTGAGTGGGTTTTGCTAACGTTTTTCTAGAGTCGAAAGATAGGGATCCCATTTCGGATACATAGATGTATCATCAGAGAAAAATTATTCATTATTTTTCAAATTACATTTTGTGAAGTTTCTTTTTTGACTCAGTATATAATGTTATTAAGTAAGTGATTTTTAATGACTTAATGCAATTTATAGACTTTAAAGAAACATAATGAAAAGTCAAAGTAGGAAATCCAGATTCTTTTATGAAAACAGTATTCAAAAATATTTAGTATGTTTATAGAGAATATATTTACAAACAAACTAAACATGCTATATATTTTAAAGCGTATGATATATGCTAATAAAACGTATTTCATTTTTCAGATGACTATGGTTTTCACCTTCGCCCAGTATAAATCACCAACATATGGAGAATATGTGTATCCTTATTACTCGACTGTAATAGGATGGATAATCGCTTCCCTTCCCCTGATGCCTGTGATCATAATGATGTTCCTCGCTATTTACCGTGGGAAAGGAGGTGTTTTTCAGGTAATTCGGTTTAAAGGTATCAACGTTGTCAATGAAAAATAAAAGTATACAACATAGAAATCCATGATGTACATATTTCTGGTAGTTTATTTATAAATTGGTCAACACTTATTGGTATTATTTCACTCAGACTTGTGTACATTTGAACATTGGCGTTAAACAACAAACAATTATTAAAATTGGTCTTCAGCAACCCATGTTTGTCGTACATGTAAGATGCGGCTAACGGGATCGGGTGGTCAGGCTCGCTGACTTGGTTGACACATGTCTTCTCATTACCGCTCTAGATCTGCGGTTACTTCGTAAACATTTGAATGGTGATACATACATTAACCTAGGGTTATAACGAACTCAGAGGGAAGCTAATTTAGTTCGTTATAACCGTAGTTCATTGTGAGCATTTCGACTAAAGTATGCTACAAGTAGCCGGGACTAAAACGTTTCTTTATATCAGCCAGATCGTGATAAGCGTGGTCGTTATGGGCGTAGTAATCTGTCATTCTGTCGTTAGTGCTTTTGGAAATGAAATGTGTTATTTGTTTATGTCAAGTTGGACTGAAGAGACAAGATGTCTTTCATCAATTCGTCAAATTCAGGATCAGTTTAAGAATTAGCAAATACAGCCGTCATTGTTTCATCTGGAAGTAATACCTTACTTCAGCATATGCCTGTTGACTCTTGGTTAAATAGTCTATGACATTCAAGACTCTGGTAACAGGTCCATGACAGTCTCTTAGATGTGCATGCAATACTGTAAGTACGGTCGTCAGTAGCTAGTTGACTGTGTCATGCTATGCGAAAGGATTTGTGTAAAGCTTCTAGTTTTAAAAGGACTTTTGGGGCAATGTTTCGGGCGGAGTGTTTATGTTATTGGATTTATTTCAGAGGATCAAGATGTCCCTGAAACCTGATGACACATGGGGTCCATCTGAACCATCTCACCGTACAGAGTACATCAAGAAACACAGAAGATCTTCCACTCTCAAAAGTGCCTTCAAATCGTCGATTTCCTGGAAAGGGTAGATAACCTCAGTTTGTGACATTTAAGGCAAGAAGGAGTCACCAGTTTGTGCCCAAGTTCACGTTTTGCCTGCATCGGAGTATCTGCTCAGACTGGCAAAGTCTACCTTCAGTCCATAATACTTCGATCGGATTGTCTGATTTGTTTACACGCACGGGCATTGCGGCGTCGGACAAGCAACACTTCTATTTTTGGGCAAAGTTACGTTTGACCACTTTCTCAATGGCATTATGCATTCACTATACTCTTGTCGTTGACCCGTGAAGCCATGATCAGGGTCGTTCGTCAAAATGTGGGTTTGTTGATACCTGTAGTATAGTTTACATTTACTATATTCTGATGTGTGCCGGTCTCCAGCATGTCAGTATTCCCCAGATGCATCATCGTTAAATCATAGTGAATGGAATCAAGTAACCACTGCATGATTACCAGCATAAAACATACTGAAGTTCTACCCACATAACACGCCGAAGACCCGGGTTCGAATCCCCACATGGCTACAATGTGTGAAGCCCATTTCTGGTGTCCCCCGCCGTGATGTTGCTGAAATATTGCTAAAAGCGGCGTAAAACCAAACTCAGTCAGTCAGTCAGTCAGTCTTCCCACATAAACGTACTTGCATACGTTTACGTTTTGAGTACAAATTTCAATCCAATTACTCCTGATAATTGCCTGGGAGTTGATATTGTTTCTGCTTCTCTATTACAAACGTTTTATTTGTAAAGTATTTATTCAATGTCTTTTTCTTTCATCGATGTTTCATACATGCAAGTTACGAGAATCTATAAACTTGACGGACGCACCTTTCTTCTTCGTGATGCTCTTTGATGATCTCAGCTTTGTGTTTTCTTTGTTTTATGCTTGCAGCAATTTGTATAATGTAAACCATAAATCCAAATAAAATCTTACCATGCCCTTATTTGCGTGCGATATGTCATTTGTTTAGAATGTTCTCCAGCGTGTCCCATATGCACGGTTGATGCAATTATGTGTTAACAAGTTATTATAGCTAAATCACACGGTTAATTATGCTCCCTTGTTCACCCAGTGATGATGGTGAGTATGGCATTTAGCAATATCACGGCGGGGTACACTACAAAAGCACTTCACACAGTATTCATGTGGAGAATCGAACCCGGACAACGGCTAAGGTAACCCAGTCGTCTAAGGTGCTTTATGTCCATTACAGAGTTACGTCCCTTGGGATTGCGAGAAACCATGATCTTGGGTTTGAGTGAGTTTAGATTTAGGCCGCTGTTAGCAATATTCCAACAATATTACGGCGGGGGACACCAGAAATGGGCTTCACACATTGCACCCATGTGGGGAATCGAACCCGGACAGCAGTGTGACGGACAATGTACCGTACACTTTTACGTACCGTACACTAGTAATCTTCCCGGGCTCGGATGACCCAGTCGTCCAAGGTGCTTAATGTCCATGGCAGAGTTACGTCCCTTGGGCATACCAGAAACCTATGATCGTGGGTTCGGATCCTCATCAGTCCTGATTATGTGTCTAGGTATATCTGCGCCATACCCATGTTCGTGGGTTTCGGTAATCTGGTGAACGTCTAACACCTGTATCACTCAAGCGTTCCTTCCAGATGAAGTCGACACGCAGCTGGAATAGTGTTCAACGCTGCGTTCACTCGATATGTCCTCCAAATTATTGAGATTTTACAGCCGCTTCGGCTTCTAAATGCGCGCATTTAGATACAGAATATACCGTAGCATGGCATTAGTTCTATTTTGGCAACAGGCAGGCAACAAACAAACACCTACTTCACCACGAATACTGTAGGCATGTCATTTCAGACCGGTAACAGACCTTGTGAGCCATGATGATGCTAAACGTTAGCGAAAGTGACACAATCCTTTCCAGTAAACTGTTGAAAGCTACGTCCGTCCCGCTCTACTGTGGTGATGTGCTGATGATTGTTGCTGTAATACCATAGCCAAAACATGTCGACTTTGTAATAACTGTGATAATAAAAGGAAGAAATTGATTGTTAACTTAAAGTTGCCAATTAGAAATTTAAGGCATCCCTCCTGATGCCATTCGATCGGTGTGTCGCGCTGGAACTTCGGGCAAACATGAGAAATATAACACCGGTTTTACTGGGCTCATTTATGTCTTGTGCCATTTACCTTCAGCTTATTGACACAGATATATTCCCGGCGTTCTTGAAAGGTGGATTGGCGTTCCAAGAATGGGTGCTTTTACTCTCACATGACAACTATGTGAGGCAGGGTGAACAATTTACACACAGTTTACACGCGGTGTATTATTATTATTATTGGATATTTAAATATCCAAGCACTAGTGCATGCTCAAGGCGATGGTATTTTCTCCCTCGAACATTGGATGTCAATCTTAACGGCACATTTTATTATCAAATCTCAACTCCCTGCGGAGCAGGGATGTCACCGAGTTATTGCAGCTTTTCCATCCTTACGAGGTACCCATTCACAGCTGGGTGGACTGGGACATATAGTCACAGTACTTTGTCCAAGATTACTGCACGTTGCTAGGTGTTTGCACGTATTCATGTGGCCACCATCTGGTCATATACCAACGGATTCGTGGGTTCTTTTAAGTGCACAGGGCTGTGTACTGTACAACACTGAAAGTGTCTGCACACAAAGTTGACTCCAAGGTTTTTACACTCGGTCACAGGTGGGCTCGATCCCGGCTCGATCCCGCCCCCCACGCAGTTTACACACATTTACACGCAGTTTACACTCAGTTTACACGCAATTTACACACAGTTTACACGCAGGTTACGCACAGTTTACAGAGTCCGACAGGGGAAGGCGGATAAGTCAGGCTGACACTTGATTGCAGATGAACTTGATTGACTGATAGTGCCCGTCCCTCCTTGTCCTTGACTTGCCTTTCTGCTGGTCTGTCCGCGCTCTTCCACCTGTTCCGGAGCAGAACTTAAAAACCGTTAAATATTTCTTCACTAAACTCTGCACACTTTACAGTCTTTGTAATGGCAAGCCAGGAGTTAAGTGACTTGTTGACCGGACTGGCAGGGCAGATGTCGGGGCAGTTAGCAAACCTGTCCACGATGTTAGGTGCTCAGGGTATAGCTCAAGTTATTAAACCATTTGAGGGGGAACCAACAAAATTCAAAGAATGGATGAAACGTACAGAAAAATATGCGGTATTAACTAATTCAGGTCAAGACAGAATATAACTGGTGGCGTACCAGTCGAGTTCAGGGGCAATCAGCGATTGTATTCATCACGATCATGAACAGGCAACGTGGCCGGAGATAAAACATGAGTTAACTAGACGATTTGCTGAAGTGACAGACGCACAGCATGCATTCATGTTGTTGAGAGCCATGACACAGAAACATGGTGAGAGTCGCAGAGCGACTGTTAAACTTAGCTGACGAGGCTTACACGGGTTTCGGTAGAGAAGGGAATGGTGCCACAATAGAGCACCAGTTAGTGGGATTCTTTACAGATGGGCTGGACCACGATTATCTAAACAGGTAGGTCATTAGGGAGAAACCCCAAACATAGCCACAGCTGTTGCATGTGCTACACATAAGCAGAACGTACGCGCAATTATTGACAGTTATTGAATATAATGTCTTTTGTACTCAAAATGTATTTTTTCTCATCCCTGGCTAAGCCGGATATGGGTCATGTATATGTCAATAAATGTGGATGCGCGTCTGTATCTTTTGTACTGTATACTTTTGTTGCATAACTTTTGTAAGATGAATCACGTTCATATTCAATATATTTTGTAACATTATTAACATTAATCACATGATGTGAGATAAAGAAGAATGGTAAATTCAACATGACATTATTTATTACCAGATTATTCACAGACCTCCACCATATAGCTTAAATATTGCTGAGTGTGGTGTTTAATAACAAAAAAAACTGCAAAACAAACAAACATATGAGGTGAGGTGAAATTGGGTTTTACGTCGTGCTTGAGAATATTTCGCTCATATGACGACGTGCATGCGTGTGTATGTGTATGTGCGGCTGCTTGTACTAGCCCAGACTGAAGCTGGTTTTATAGTGCTAGCCCACTGAGATACCATGCCGCAGTAAAGCATGAATACCCCACTCAGACACATTATACTGACTCCGAGCCGACCAGTCCTTGTTGTACCCAGTAATGCCGAGCGCCGGGCAGGGACCAACAAGTACCATATTTTAACGTCTTTTGGTATGACGCGGTCGGGGATCGAACCCGCGATCTTCCGCTCTCCGGATGCATGTCAGACACAGCCTTCAAGAAAGAAAAGAATTGGTGTCATTTCAAATGACAATCACGACTGCCTCAGAGGTGACATTCCCGAGAAAAGCTAGACTGTCAAATTTTATCATTTCTGTAAGAAAATGAAGAAGTTTGATTTATCTTTGAAAGAAATCCACAACCCTGTCCATGGAGATTACAGACTGGAGATTATTGATGGGGACAGGGAAATAGTGATTCCTAAGGTTTGACTTCATTATGTCATATCCACAGCGTTGTGGGGTTCAGGATCCCAAAATATAAGAATATTGATAAACCAGTATTATACTGGAAATTCTTAGGAAGCCACACAGGAGTTTGTTAATAAGCAGGGTGACAGGCAACTGTTATGTCCCAAATTTGCTAATGAAGCAGATTTGACACTTGTGATGTAAAAAACACCAATGGGGCAACACCAGGATCTACTTTGAATATGGATGGTGTTCTGTTGCACATGGCAACATTTCATTTAATTGTCCGAGATTGAAATTTTACGTATGATTCATTTCTTCAGTGTTATCTTTAGTGGGGAGTCTCCTACTCGGGAGATGCATGTATCAGGTAAAAGTGAGTGAGTGAGTTTCGATTTACGCCACTTTTAGCAATATTATAGCAATATAGGAACACCAGAAATTGGCCTCACACAATGTACCCATGTGGGGGATCGAACCTTGGTTTTCGGCGTGACAAGCGAACGCTTTAACCACAAGACTACCTCACAGCCCCGCATCAGGTAGAAACTTCATGGTTTCAGAAATGTAGTGGGGAGAAATTTCCTTTCTACACACTCAAGTTACGCCAAACTTACGCCGACTCATTCTGCTGGATTCAGCCATGCATTGTTGTTCGGCTAAGTTGCATGCACATGTGAATGTGATTTGTTTGAAGCCGTATTTTATTGATTTATGGTCAAACAAACAAAAAAGGTGTGTGTAACAAGAATATATAATTGAAATAAGGTTTGTTAATTCAGTAACCATTTCACACATTCAAAGTATTTTTACTGAAGCGTCCTTAAAATGGCTTTATATTGTCCATGTCTCAGACATACATGCTGTCGATGTAATGACTAAATACATATAGTCCGTTTGGCTCAAAAGCGGACCGATGAATTGCAATCTAACTCGAAAACTAATAAACATATAATACTCAATGAAACACTGATCATAATCAAAGCATCAGAACAACTCTGTTATTTTTTTCAGAAAGTACATGTATGTCCTAAAAATAAAAAGTTGTTTAACAAACTATCATTAAAATATTTACACAGTTCATTATTTGTTGCGAGGGAGGAGTGCAAAGAAAGGGACAGCCAGGTGTACGGGAAAGGATGGAGACGGCACAGCACAGGTAAATGAATCAATAGCTTTGTCGGCACTTGTGCACGTGCAACCCGTACACCTGGCTGTTCGTGATGTTGCTGGGAAGCGAGTCAAGTCAGTGTTCAGGGAAGGGAGAAGGGAGAAAGTGAAAGGTTTCGGTGTAGTCATTATTATATCACTTGTGCTCATATGCTTCAGGATTAATGGTGTATTCTCTTGGTTTTACACTTGATTTTATGCACCATTTAAAAGGGAAAAGGATGTAGATTACCGTGCCCTCTTGTTAATCTTTGAGCAAAAGCTAAGATCGAAATGCAGTTTGACAAAGTGTATTTATGTTGTATCTTAACGCTCCCAAGGTTATATGAATGATTGTATCAAATACCTGTTTTATTAAAAGAATGTGTTATTGTCACTGATTTCAAATATGAGAAAAATAGAATTATGACATAAATAGAATTATAATAACATAAACGTGCACTCGACTAATTTTTATATCAAAGGATGAACATTGGTTGATGGTAACTTCGTGGTAAATGAAATCATCACTGTTTATAATCATGTTCATGGTCAGCACAGGTATGAATGGTATATATACTCATTCAAAGATCATTGGAACACTCATTTACTTTTTGTTGATAAGTTAAGAACGCCTATTGATATCAAAGCACAACTAATGTAATACGATACTTTAGCATTTATTCCATGAATATGACAGTTCTTTAGAACATCATGCAATGTATAGCATAAAACAATTGAACAGAATGACGAAGGGTCAGTTTGCAAAGTCACAGTTTCATTTGCAGATCAGCAGTGAGTGTGTCTACCTCTGTTTCTGACACACTCTGCACATCTAGCCCACAGACCCTCGTGTCTTTGCGAGGATTAAATTCTTTTTAAAATATTTTTTTGAGATGACCCCCGACTCGAAATGCTTCACAGTACAATACATTATGACAAGGCCGGACACTTCGATGCACCCCACACGACTGTTTTGCCGCTCGCGATGCTACCATCGCATGCAATCGGTTAAAACTTAATGTAAACATAATCATGGATGATTGGCCCATCGAGCACCACTCATGACACCTACCAATTCTTTATTGTTATTTCTGCAAGTCGACTGAAACCCGATTTTGACTCTCAACTAAACGATCTTGACACAAATGGATGACGATATATCCGCACAAAACTACGCACAATTACTACGTCAACACTACCAAAATGACAGGTGTTCCCATATTTCTTTGAATGAGTATAGTACCTAACTGAAAGAGGTAATTTCAAAGTAGGCAAAATATAATATTTTTCACGTGTATTGTTCGAACAGACTCATTGCCAGATGCAAGAGAAGGAGAAACACATGACAAAAAGGGTATTACAATTTGAGACACTTCTCACTTCAGCATGAATGCAGAATTGAAAAGGTAATGTATACTTCTATAAATTTTAGCACTTCATTGAGCATTTATCCTTTTTGAAACATTCTCTGAGGTAATATTTTAAACTTCTAAATAAGCCTAATGTAAAGCATTCCTTTATGCTAAAGAACATGTTTGCACTTGGTGATATATGTTTCTACTTTTCAGGAAAGGGAGAACAGACTCCAAACAAGAGCAGAGGCGATGAAGCCAAGAAAGGTATTAGCTGATGGATATAATATATGGGACTGATAAACTCAAGATGAATAATAATTGGTATGCAAATGCTAAGTATGAGGTTGTGTCAGTTTCTCATTTGGCTTCATTTCTGAAATGGGTCATTGTCTCAGTTGATAAATACTACATGTGTACATGAACTGAAGAATATTTATGAAAATGTATATGGAAGGCACAAGAAGGTACAAACTTTAAACGAAATGGAGCTCGAGGCCTCATTTTATGATCTTGAAATTGTGAACAAGAAGGGCGGGTAACTGCATATTTATTGCACTGGCTCAGAACCATCGAAATGAGATCAGTGTTGAAACACTGTTAAAGAAACATAAATGTGTTGTTTTGTAACAGTGTAATGATGCAACACGCTATATCTTGGCGCAGAATAGAAAAAAAACTGACTGAGTTTGGTTTTACGTCGCTTTTAGCAATATTCCAGCAATATCATGGCGGGGGACACCAGAAATTGGGAATAGAACAAAAGTGGATATGTAATGTCTGTTTAAACAAAAGAAACTCCCGAGCCATACCAAGATGACCAAATGTGCAGTGGTTAATATCTGAAATATACCAAGATGACCAAATGTGCAGTGGTTAATATCTCAAATATACCAAGATGACCAAATGTGCAGTGGTCAAAATCTCAAATTATACCCAGTTGTACCTCTTCTTAAATGGATACTTAGCCAATGGCCGACTGAAACCACTTACAGTAGTTTATAACATGTTTACATGCTTTCTCACAATTTGTGATTTGGATTCAAGTTTGTACTGCCTAAAGAAAATTAACTTGTGAATGCTATCATTATCTCATTGAAACTGATTGTTTCCTTTTTTAACAAGCATAAAAAACATTCACTGAGTTCATGTATCTAAGTTGATGTATAACACAGTTTCACAAATATGACCAAATATTTATGGTGCAGGTACAATATGTATATATTAGTTCACCTTGTCCAAGCTATAACACCTTGCAATACAGTGTTGGTAAGATTTTTTCTATAGCATTGTATATTACCTCTGCCAATCAAATTAGTCTTACCCACCAACCAGGTTTCTGATAGAGCATAGTGTTGTGCTGATCACTTTAAGTGCATGTAGTTGCCAAGTCATTGTCTGCTCCACTCCAAATTTCAACATATTAAACCAGGATTACTCAGATCGGGTTTCCACATCTGACATACAATAATGTTACAGTTTCAGAGGAAGAGACAAAGGAAACCTGCGAAACACGAAGGTGGACACAGAAGATGAATCAGATTCAAATATAAAATGAACTCTGGTGTGTGGGAACAAAAGGCATGTTCAAACTAAAAGAGAGCCTTTAATCAAATAATAAGTAATGCCTGGCATGTCTTTTCAATTGTATCAGTCTCATTAAAATGATAGATTCATAGCTTTTTTTTTAAGTAAATACAATTTAGTTCTACTTTCATCTACAAATAAGAGTAACCTTCAGTTTTTCTGTACCTGAGTTGACACTACACATGTATTGCAATGACAATTGGTAATTATTATGCCATGTGGTCATAAAAATTCATAACCAAACATTTAAAAGTTTTAACAATACAAAGATGCATATGTCAGTTGCGGCCATCATCTACAACATCATAAGGAGGTGTTTACTTGCTTTCAGATGTGTTCATGAACATATGTTAAAGATGTTGTTTTTTCACTTAAATGTCCACAGAAAGTAAAAGTTAGACAAGACTCGTCATTATGAAGGGGCAAGTATTAGCCCAGAAACGTTGTGCGTAAATAATAAAGAAATTCACATCCATATCAACTTCTAATGCCTATCGGGGCGGTGGGGTAGCCTAGTGGTTAAAGCGTCCGCTCGTCACGCCGAAGACCCAGGTTCGATTCCCACATAGATACAATGCGTGAAGCCCATTTCTGGTGTTCCACGCCGTGATATTGTGATATTGCTGGAATATTGCTAAAAGCTGCGTAAAACTAAACTCACTCACTTTAATTCCTATCAAACATCTGAAAAGGTAGTTGCTCACCTGCAGAAAATTGCTGCAAAAGATGCATCGTGAATTATATTTGGAAATAACTTGGATTGACTTTGAATTCAGATGACTGATTTTGGTTCTAGTTGGTCCCTCAAGGTGTTGATTACTCAGAACCGTACCTGTGTAAGTGGGTTTCAAAGACTTCATACTTTCTTAGATCCAGTTTAGAAGTGGTCTCCACCAGCATTATGTGTGTTGTATGAGGTGACTAACGCCTGTGTAAGTGGGTTTCAAAGACTTCATACTTTCTTAGATCCAGTTTAGAAGTGGTCTCCAGCAGTATTATGTGTGTTGTATGAGGTGACTAACACGTGAATTTGCTGATGCGTGGCATCATATTCTTTATCCACAGCATAATATTTTAGTACGTCATAATAAAAAATTTTTTAGTTTTTTATTTTGTTGCATTTTTCAACATTTTATTCAAACAAATAACAATGATATTCCAGTATACATGATGAACAATCAAATATTTTTAGCAGAATATATCATGACATGACGACCAGAACGTGTAGAAAGCATTGATATTACAACTAATTATTGACGAACGCTTTGTTAACATATAATATTCGAACAGTTTATGTTGAAAAACTTGAAAAGATGGCATAATGTTGTTAAACTTATTTCGAAAAATTAGTTCCTTGAAGAGAATTAAGATGATATTTATTGGATCATTGTTTTTCTTTGGGTAACCAAGCATTACATGTTTCTTTTCAATTTGGAGTTTTATTTGTGCTTTAGCATGCAGCCAGTTCTCACGTTTTTTCCATATATGGTTTACCTTGCTGCAAGACCAGAATAAGTGGATAGTTGTTTCTATATCTTCGGAGCAAAAACTACAATTATTAGTGTCTTTATATCCTATCTTTTCTAAAAAAAATGTTTGTTGGCAAGATATGGTGTAAAAGTCTGTATTGGAACCATTGTAATCTAGTATCGTTCGTACATCTTAAGGGAATAGTATTGTAAAGTGGCCAATCATTAGATATAATGTCGTCGTATAAAATGTTTAGTTCCCATTTCGATGCATGTTGGTTTTTTAAGACGTCATAATAATCCTAAAAGTGCTATTCCTGTGTCGCTGACAGAGCTTGCCCATATATTGTGGGTGCAAAGCCCAATAAACAATAATCCTATTCTCACTTCAAAATTCTAATGTGCTGTTCAATATTGCTTCAACTGTTAATGTCTTAATTCTGACACATAATATAAATGTGTTTGTGGGTGACTGGACCCAAGAATATCTCTTATCTGACTTCATTCTTCAGAAGTAATGTGGAACACATTGTTCATATGTATAAAATAAATTATGGTAGAGACATGAGAAGGTAGTAATGTACTGGCCTGTGATTGAACATACCTGGTTGCACTTATCGACAATAACACATTGTATATCCTGAACTGAGTCCATTTAATACACAAAGATAAGTAAGTCCTGATGAGTGAGTGAGTGGGTTTAGTTTTACGCCGCACTCAGCAATATTCAGCTATATGGCGGGGTCTGTAAATAATCCAGTCTGGACCAGACAATCCAGGGATCAACAGCATGGGCATTGATCTACGCAATTGGGAACCGATGACATGTGTCGGCCTCTTCAGCGAGCCTGACCACCCGATCCCGTTAGTCGCCTCTTACGACAAGCATGGGTTACTGAAGATCAATTCTAACCCGGATCTTCAGGGGTAAGTACTGATGAGTATGCTGTACACATTGTCCATCTTGAAGATGTCTGTGAGGTGGTTTTTGTATGAATGCAGGATCTCCATAATGATGGCTGTGATCAGATCTCTGTGGGAGAGACACGTACTTGCTTGGTCTGTGGTATCTGGCGGTTTCATCCTTAACTTGTAGGTTGTCCATAAGGTGGCTGCTGTATGATGCTTCATTCAAGATGGCGGCGTTGAGGATCAAGACTGATTCAGACAGTCTGAGGCACCCCACCCATTACACTCAGATTGGGACATCGCAACCATTACATACAGACTGAGACAGACTGATTGGTTGGTTGGTTTGTTGTTTAACGCGGCTCTCAGCAATATTCCATCGAGTCTGGGCCAGACAATCCAGTGATCAACAGCCTCACCACCCTATCCCGTTAGTCGGCTCGTACGACAAGCATGGGGTGCTGAAGACAAATTCTAACCAGGATCGTCACGGGTTCGCATACAGTCTGAGGTACCCTTATCATCACTTACAGTCTGAAACATCCTATCCCTTACATAGAAATGTTGCCCTTTCCATTACAGTCACCCTGAGGCACAGTCCTGAGGCACACCCCTTACATACAGTCTGAAACACCTTACATACAGTCTGAGACACCCTACACCTTACATACAGTCTGAGGCACCCTACACCTTACATACAGTCTGAGACACCCTACACCTTACATACAGTCTGAGACACCCTACACCTTACATACAGTCTGAGACACACCTACACCTTACATACAGTCTGAGGCACCCTACACCTTACATACAGTCTGAGACACCCTACACCTTACATACAGTCTGAGACACCCTACACCTTACATACAGTCTGAGGCACCCTACACCTTACATACAGTCTGAGACACCCTACACCTTACATACAGTCTGAGACACCCTACATACCTTTTACATACAGTCTGAGACACCCTACACCTTACATACAGTCTGAGAGTCTGAGACACCCTTTACATACAGTCTGAGACACCCTACACCTTACATACAGTCTGAGACACCCTACACCTTACATACAGTCTGAGGCACCCGTCACCTTACATACTGTCTGAGACACCCGACACCTTACATACAGTCTGAGACACCCTACACCTTACATACAGTCTGAGACACCCTACACCTTACATACAGTCTGAGACACCCTACACCTTACATACAGTCTGAGACACCCTACACCTTACATACAGTCTGAGACACCCTAGACCTTACATACAGTCTGAGACACCCTACACCTTACATACAGTCTGAGACACCCTACACCTTACATACAGTCTGAGACACCCTACACACCTTACATACAGTCTGAGACACCCTACACCTTACATACAGTCTGAGACACCCTACACCTTACATACAGTCTGAGACACCCTACACCTTACATACAGTCTGAGACACCCTACACCTTACATACAGTCTGAGACACCCTACACCTTACATACAGTCTGAGACACACCTACACCTTACATACAGTCTGAGACACCCTACACCTTACATACAGTCTGAGACACCCTAGACCTTACATACAGTCTGAGACACCCTACACCTTACATACAGTCTGAGACACCCTACACCTTACATACAGTCTGAGACACCCTACACCTTACATCCTTACATACAGTCTGAGACACCCTACACCTTACATACAGTCTGAGACACCCTACACCTTACATACAGTCTGAGACACCCTACACCTTACATACAGTCTGAGACACCCTACACCTTACATACAGTCTGAGACACCCTACACCTTACATACAGTCTGAGGCACCCTACACCTTACATACAGTCTGAGACACCCTACACCTTACATACAGTCTGAGACACCCTACACCTTACATACAGTCTGAGACACCCTACACCTTACATACAGTCTGAGACACCCTACACCTTACATACAGTCTGAGACACCCTACACCTTACATACAGTCTGAGACACCCTACACACCTTACCATACAGTCTGAGACACCCTACACCTTACATACAGTCTGAGACACCCTACACCTTACATACAGTCTGAGACACCCTACACCTTTACATACAGTCTGAGACACACCCTACACCTTACATACAGTCTGAGACACCCTACACCTACATACAGTCTGAGACACCCTACACCTTACATACAGTCTGAGACACCCTACACCTTACATACAGTCTGAGACACCCTACACCTTACATACAGTCTGAGGCACCTGACACCTTACATACAGTCTGAGACACCTGACACCTTACATACAGTCTGAGACACCAGTCTGAGACACCCTTACCATACATACAGTCTGAGACACCCTACACCTTACATACAGTCTGAGACACCCTACACCTTACATACAGTCTGAGACACCCTACACCCTTACATACAGTCTGAGACACCCTGACACCTACACCTTACATACAGTCTGAGACACCCTACACCTTACATACAGTCTGAGACACCCTACACCTTACATACAGTCTGAGACACACCCACACCTTACATACAGTCTGAGACACCCTACACCTTACATACAGTCTGAGACACACCATACTAGACACCCTACACCTTACATACAGTCTGAGACACCCTACACCTTACATACAGTC